CTCATTGCATGCTCATGATATCAACCTGCTACCGGTACATTCGCACTGCGAACGCCAAGTACCCAATGGCAGTTATATGAAGTTCTCACCCACCTCACGAGTCGCAACCTCGCACACGGTACACTCCATTGAGGAGCACCAAGTACCCATGGCTGACCCATCCGTCCTGACATCTCTGACTACCTACCATCAATACCTTAATAGCTCACTACATCACCAATCATGATCGATGGGAATTCGATCGTCCACTCCCATGCAAGACTGGGATCACTCATCGATTACATATCCCATTATGGTACAGACTAGATACGACCTTCGTTATCCCACTATAAGAACGGATTGAGGAATGGGGATTTCCCCCCATTCCCGTAACAAATATATTGAAAAGAGGGGGTGGTGACCATCGAGGGAGGTGGAGGTGATTGTGGAATACAGGAGCTCCAAGGTTAGTGAAGGAGTGAAGGTAGTCCAGAAGGATCAGAGGTAGTGGAAGATGATGGCCATGGATGGATATGACACCTTGCATCCACCTTGATCCGAAAATGGTATCCCCATGTCAGGGCACACCCGCCTGACCCGGCCCCAGCTGACCCGGTTCCCTGCTACCCACTCCTTCCCTACTTCCTCTTCCCTTTTCTCTTCCTCTCTCTCTCCCTCCTTTCTCTTTTCTTTCTTTCCTTACTTATTACATGGACAACTTCCCTCCTATCAGTGTACCATTGGCCCGGCTGCAGTACGACACGCCCAAACCCGCTGGGCAGCCTCCCACACACTGGGTGCTCCTGGGATCTCTTGTGGAGATACCCGGATGGATGTGGCTGTGTGCGCAGATGACATGGCCTTAACTACATGTATATAAACACAGCCTAAGTGGGAACTGAGAAGCAACCTTCTTCTCACACTTCCCACTTTAGCCTAAGTGGCCAGGGACCCTTGTCTGCTTCAGGCCCATTGTTACGCATGCCTGCACTACACCCTACTGGGCCCTCAGCCCCAGGCGATATACCTGGATGCTCTTGACCCCGGGTCGGTCCCTGACAGCAGAAGAAGGTTTCAACCTCATTTCCCCCCATCACCCCTGCCATGGTGATGCAAGAACAGTATGACAACTTGCTGGCCCGGTTCCAGGAACTACAGGCCATTGTGATAGCCCAAGCCCAGGGCCAGCCTGCACATGCGCCCAGACCACCCAAGGTCGCCCCCACCCCCTTCTGGGGAGTCAGCGAGGACCTCGACCACTTCAGGGCCAAATGCGGGATCTATCTCTACGTCTGCACAGCTGAATTCCCCAGCACCCTCTCCCAAGTCCTCTTCATGCTTTCCTACATGAAGGGAGGGACTGCAGGAGCGTGGGCGACACAACGCACCATGGCACTACTGACAACAGGCTCTCCCACACCCACCATGGACGAGTTCAATGCGGAACTCGATGCCATGTTCCACGACCTGAACCGGGTGGCCACAGCCCAGCAGAGGTTGGCTACCATCTGACAGGGGAGTGATCCCATGGACAAGCTCATCCAGGAGTTTGAGATATTGGGGCCCACTTCGCAGCTGGGCGATGTAGGGCTAGTCAACCGCTTTGAGCAGGCAATCAACTCCCGGCTCCATGAGAGCATCTACCAGCTCTGCCCTATGCCCACCACCTGGTCCAAATGGAAGCGTGAGGCCACCCTCCTTGACAGCCAGTGGCAGCGCTTCCAGAGGACGCAGCTGTGCATGCCCTCACCCAAACCCCCTCCCCCACTAGTCCCACCCACGACTCCCATAACCCACCCCAGACCAGAGATGAACCCGCACCCAGAGGCCTGCCAGACCCAATGCTTGCACCCAGAAGACCTCCAAACATTGATGAAGAGGCTGAGGGGCCAAGTGACGAAAGGATCAGAAGCAAGAGGGAAGGGGCTAGGCATGGACCAAAGAGGGCGCCCAGAGACCCAGCAGCCCATGAGGGATAGCTCACGCAGATGCCATGACACACGCAAGTCGCTACCAGCACCGAAACTCCACCGAGTCATTGCAAAGAAAAAGAGGAAGGGAGCACCTCCAGCCCGCAAGGACGAGAAAACCGCAGAGATGACTCCAGAGGTAGCAGTATCCCCACCTGCTATCTACGTCCTCTCCAGACACTCTCTGAGATCCCTCAACCTTGCTGTGAAGCTGACCACCCTGACCACCCTGGCCTCTGTATCCGTGTCAGCACTTGACTTGGGAGCCACCAGGAACTTTGTAAGCCCTGAGTTCGTCTGAAAGCACAGGCTCGAGACCACCCCACTCCCCCAGCCCATCCCCATCTGCAACGTCGATGGAACCCCAAACGAGAATCGGGCCATAACCAAGGAACTAGAGGCCCTCTTGATGTTTGGATGCCATACAGAGTGGGCCCGCTTCGCAGTTGCGAACCTCGGGCGACAGTCCCTCATCATAGGGCACTCGTGGCTGCTGCACCACAACCCGGAAGTGGACTGGGTATGGCAAAAGGTCGTCATGTCCCATTGCCCATCCTCCTGCCGGCCACCACAAGCACGAAGTGACCAAGACCCCATGCTAGAGCCTGGAGATGGGATCTATGCCACGATCATCCCCCCAGAATGGGGACACGAGCTGAGAGCGACCACCACACCCTCCCAGCAGATGGCCCAAGAAGCCCATGACCCGGAGGCGGAGCCCATACCATTCAAAGCATTGGTGCCAGAGCAGTACCAGGATTTCTGGGACGTGTTCTCCAAAGAGGCCTTCGATCAACTGCCTCCCTGGAAACCCTGGGACCACGCCATCAACCTAGTGCCAGATGCCAAGCTCCCTAGGGGAAGACCTTCCTGCTCTCACAGCTGGAGCAGAAAGAGCTGGACGAGTTTCTGCAAGAGAACCTACAGAACGGGTGCATCCAACTGTCCAAGTCCCCAATGGGAGCCCCAGTCTTCTTTGTTAAGAAGAAGGACGGGTCACTATGCCTGGTTCAGGACTACCGGAAGCTGAATGAGATCACAGTAAAGAACTCATACCCACTGAAGGAGCGGAGCTGGATCACCTTATGTAACCAGTTTCCTATGTCCAATAACGATGTTAGAGTTTGTGCTGATTTGCGTACTGACCGTGTTTTGGTTGCCAAATATATAATTGTTTGCTGTCTAAACAACAATAAACACCCCCAACGATCTCACCTGACGTATAGATCGTCTATGGATAAAATTCTATATTGACTTTACTATGATTTCTAGTCAATACCACACCTAGATATACCACTTTTCAGTAGGATGTGATTTTCCTGATAATTTACTGAAGGAAAACTACTAATAAAATAATTCCGCAACAAATGTTACTCAATACAGGAGTGACCAAACTGCTCTTTCTATCGCTTAGAGTGCGTGCTAGTTATCTAGCAGGTTCAGGATCGCTCACTTTTCTCCTGTGGTGTGATAACCAAGTATTGCTGAGAGATTATTCAATTAAGAAGTCCCTCCACTAAATTCTCACTAATTCTCACTATGACACTTTTGTTCAGCTGTGTCTAACTGACCCTAACTCACGCTTAGAGTGACGTGTTAGTTTTATATTAGCTAACAACTAATATTTGCTTTTATCTTTTGGAGCAAACAAACCAACCACTGGTGAGGAGAATTAAACTTTTATTTCTACCTGAGGTTTGAGAGGGGGCAGAAGCGGCGGCGTTTTATGCTTTTCAGAGGCCTCTCTACTCCCACGCCTCGCACTAGTTACATGTGCTACATTTGTATTATAGATAGTTCTAGAATGATATAGGGGCTTGGGCTGTGTAAGCTTAATAATGGACTTAGGACATGACTCAGCAATAAGTAATTCATTTCTTTGTCTTTTGGGCAGATTTTAGCGGGGTCTTGTAGCGCTAAAGCTATGCTTTACACCGCTTTAATTACGAACGGTTATCTTTAGAAATGACTCGGCTATAAAGGAACTTTCTAGACTGTTCTCTAATTGACCCTTTTTGTGAAGCCGCATCATTACTAATGTTCTAGAGCTTTCCCAATGAATTAACTGATCCGCAGACTTCTGAATCACTTTGTGCTTATGATCCGAGATCCATATCATCAATCATTCCTTTGTTCCGATTTATTTGAGCTTAAAATCAAAAAGTTTTGATGAATCATGGGAAAATATACAAGATCCGGTTTTTTAGCATTTTCTCCTCTTCTGATGCGATCAAAAACTGTCCGCCCGCGCCGGGAATACTATATCATATGGTATTCGGTCCGCCAGACTTCCGGGCGCCAATATATTTCCCTTGAGTCACATTACTTTTTATAAGAATTAGCAAATAAATATATATGAATTATAAGGTGTTTCGCCGTTTGAGCGATATCTCCGTCAGTTTTGAAGCTTTTAGAATGAAACAAAACCGTGGATAAAGTTTGGAAACAGTCCTTTTAGATGGTAAAGAGATTACAGTCAAATGTTTACTGGTTCCCGAGATACTCTCATTTCTTTCCCAATGTTCCTTCTTATTCTGCCATCTATGTGCTATTTTCTTGTTGTAGGGATATATTCTTTGAATATTACACCTATGCCAGGTTCTAGGCATGCTTGTAGTAGATTAAATCTCACCCCACTGGGTGGTTGAGCCCCCACTCCTACCCTTCCTGTAGTACCCTACTGGGTCCTACAACCCTTCCTCCCTCTTTGGGAGGGAGAGGTGACTCAGGCAGCCCCAGGATGCCTGGCCACGTACCCACGGTCACTCACTACCTGCCTGTCCCAACAAATCCCGCTACCAGTACGCTCCCCTGAGCGCCAAGTAACCGATAGTCAACCACTGGGCTACTCCCTCAAGGAGTGCCAACTACCCACGCCGACTGTTAGGTGGCTCTCTCAAGGAGCCCCCACTATACCCGCTGCCGGTATGCTCCTTGGAGTGCCAAGTCACTGTTAGCAGACCACCACACCTGCTGCCAGTACGCTCCTCAGAGTGCCAAGTTACCGTTAGCCTGCCCGGCCTCAGATCTCCTCCTGCTCTCCCTCAATGGTTATGCAGCCACCTCCGTCCATGAGCAGAATGGCTCAGGTTGGGTTCCCCAGAACCCATTCCTGTAACATCCAGGGCTCACAGAAAGATCGCTGGAAATGGTTGCATAGGCATAAATTTGCCCAGGTGGGAAGACACTAAGGAGGAATTGAAAGGGATATCTTAGAAAAGAATGCAGTACTTACACTGTTTGACCTGCAGAAAGAATGAATGAAGTAAATCGATGAGGAGGTTGATATAGATACTCATAACCAAGGGGGCAGGATACATCCTTGTCATCCAACACATCGTTGAAGTCAACTATAACTTTCTGGTCCTCATTGATAGTTGGGATGAAAAAAAACAGTGTGGCCACTGACACAGCAAATGCTGATGCTGATACTGTTGGGATTCTGATGTGGTGGGTGCACAGACCCAGCCGAGGAGATCATTGGTCCTTGCCACTCCTTGACTTTGATGGGACATTCTTCCAGGGAATAGTCTGCTAACCCAACCTCATGGGTGTTGAGGAGCCTACATAAGGTAAGTTCTGGGTAAGCTTTTCTGGTTGGATACTCACTTCTCAACAGGTTGATAATGACTTCCAACCCCCAGGGCATGCTCAATGATCAATGGCTGGGAGGTCTCCCACTGGCACATCTCATGTGCTGCATGCCTCATAACAACCTCTGATTGCTGATCCTCATCAGAATCTGAACAACATGTCAGCCCAGAAAAGGGACAAAGAGATTGACTTACCTAAACAAAGAGCCACTTGCTGAAAGTGTCAGGGGACGTCTCACAGGTCCCCATGACCCCCCCCCCAATGGCCCACAACCTAAAGGGACACAGCCCTGTCCAGGGCACACTCCTGTGGGTAAGAAGGTGAAATAGAACAAGAGGCAAGTAATGTACAACTTGCCTGCTGTGGGTAAGAAGGTGAGAAGGAAGCTAACTTCTCACCTTCCCACAGTGGCCCAATATAATCGAAAACTTCCAGAGATATCCGGAAGTCACATGAGGCCCGAGACCTGGGGCCTGGGGCATCCTGCCACATGGAGCGTCCGGCACAGGGTGCATGCAGGGGGTGCAATGGCCAGGTGTGCATGTGGATGCAGGTGCAGGTGCAGGTGCAGGTGCAGGTGTGGGCTAGGTCAGGGTGTGTGCCCTGACAAAAGTCCACCAACCCAAAAAGCATTGAAACATCAAAATCAATAGGCTCCAATCGGCCTACAAATAGGACAGGATTGCCATAATCCAGAAATTCCTGGAATGCTCCTGGGTTGAACAGGAATGGGTTTCCATGACTGTGGGAGCAAAGGTTTGAGAATCATGCTGCATGGATTCGACATACCCAATGAAAGAATTGTATGATGCCTGTAATGCAGCATTAGCAGTCAATGCGAAAAGGAGATGGACACTCACTGAATCCTTATAGTGGGGGAACTGGAACGCTATAGGAGCATCCTCTCCAGTGACATGCAGTTGGACATTGTAAACAAGCTACTGATCCCATAAGCTTCATCCAACCCTATATAAGCACTTACCTTGGATCCTGCTGATGGCTCTGGAGAGAGCTTTTCATAGTCTACCAGCAACATATTCACCTCACCGACATCCAGCCAAGAGTCAATGGCATCTTCAGTGAGGAAAAACTGGGCTGTTTCCTCCTTGGTCACCTTGATCTGTTGTATATGTGGCCTACTAATGCGTTTCCGTTTCCATGGTACATGATATGACCTGTCACTTTTGTGCTTTTTACTGCTGGGCTTCTTAGAAGACTCAGGCTGACCATCTGTAGGCACAGGCTGAGCTTTTGTGGGTTCAGGCATTGTCTGGATTGCCATAGACACCTTGGATGGACTTCCATATTGGCCACTCTGAGCAGTGTGAAAGGTCTCCTGGGTACTGAAGGTAACAGCAACAGATTTGGAATGGGTGATTGGCATGGTAGGACTGGAGCAGTTGACAGTGTTGGACTGAACAGTGGGCATGTAAGAGCGTTCTTGGACAGGTGGAATAGAATGAGACCGTTCTTGAATGGATGTAGAATGGTCGGACTCAATGACTGGTGTGGAACGTTCTTGGATAGGTGGAATAGAACGAGACCATTCTTGAATGGGTGTAGAATGGTTGGACTTGACAACTGGTGTGGAATGTTCTTGGACAGGTGGAATAGAATGAGACCGTTTTTGAATGGATGTAGAATGGTTGGACTCAATGACTGGTGTGGAACGTTCTTGGATGGGTGGAATAGAACAAGACCGTTCTTGAATGGGTAGAGAGTGGTCAACCTTGGACTGAACAGCAGATGTGGAATTCAGAAGTGTCTGACATATCATCGTCAAGAGGAGGAATTTGAATGATTGAAGGAATACATGGTGAAACCCAAACCCATGAGGCCTGGAAGGCATCAAAGTCATGCTGGGTGATGCGCCCTGATTCGGAAATGGACAGCACAGAATGGAGAAGAGCATTTTCGAGAACCTTTGGGGGCCATTCATCTGCAGGAAACCCCCACTGAGAACAGCATACGACATCAACATGTTCATTGTAGGGAGAGTTGTTGGGTTTGTAAGCATGGTGTCAAGCAGCAAAACAAGAGGGGACACCAAAACAGAGATGACAAAGGGGCTGATGTGGGAGTAACTAGACAAATCTTTAGAACCCAACCAATACACAAGAAGAATTAGCTTACCCTTGGGTGCTCAGACAATAATTTGTATCCTGTAAACATCATCAAGTTGATCACAGGCAACCCATGGAATAACACTCACAAGGAACTTTAACATACCCACTTCTCTCATCTCCCTCACAGTGGCAGCACAGTAGTAAATATTGCTGAGCAGTGTCATATCCATCCCTGGTGTCAGAGACCAGATTCGAGACGAGGGAGAGTCTCCGTGACGGAGGGCTTTGGCCTCAGCGACTTCTGCCAAGAGCGCTGTGCCTAGTGACACGTCCGTGCCCCAACTTACTGACTGGCAATCAGAACCGAAGGGGGGGTAACTCTAGTTGATTTTATTACTGGGGTGTAACCTATGTACAAGTGGGATATATATACATAATTCTGTGATATCATGACTCAACGTGATTCTGTGTCATAGTACCTGATTGCTTGTGGTCCATCTTTGAAACCCACAAATGTATGCTTGATTGCCTTGGGGTCGAGTTTTGACTTCGAGCATGTTTTGTCAAGTACATATACGTCACAGCCAAAGGGGCGGAGATGGGAAATATTTGGTTTCTTGTTGAACATGGCCTCATATGGTGTTTTTCCAGTGAGAGCAGTCGTCATTGCATGATTCCTGATATAGGCTGCATGGCTAACTACTTCTGCCCACAGACTTTTTGGCAGGTGTGCATCGATCAGCATTGCATGCATCAACTCCACCAGTGTTCCATTTGGGCATTCCGCTACTCCATGTTGTTGTGGTGAGTATGGCACTGAGGTTTGCCGTTCCATACCTCTCTCTGTAGTACCTCAGGTTAGGACCCCTGGGGCAGTCTGAGATAGACTTTAGCCTTGATACAATAAGTAGAAAGGATAAAGTCAACCTCAAAGTCACATGACTATATATAGAGTGAAGATTGAAAGAAAAGAGACACCTCAAACTACAACACTCTCATCTAGCCATCCCTTCAGCTCGTTCCCCATGAATTCTCCTCCTGCATCAAACCGGAATGCTTTTACAGTCCATCCCAGCTGTGTGGACAACCATTCAGCATACTCCTTCACCTTCCAGGCTACATCCGATTTGGCACATATGAATTTAATGGTGACATAACACAAGTAGTCGTTGATAAGGGCCACATAGTATAAGCTTCTACTGATGCTTTCTACCCTAGCAGGGCCCCATAAATCAGAGTGTGTAAGGGTTCCGGGTTCATTTGCTTGGGTGGCCCCATACTTTGGGTAGGGTGTCCTAGCCAACTTGGCCTCGATGCACGCTTTGCATTGGAAATCCGCATTACTTTCCGGATCAACACTTATCCCATCCACCAAGTTCTTTCTCAGCATCTCGCATAGTCTGAATACAGATGCATGACCAAAACGTCAGTGGAGTTCCTGCCAAGATATTGGTGGGGGTTGGGATGCCATGTTCGCCGTTTCACCTGGTATGATTGCTTTGGCATCCATGAGGTAGACTTGTCAGACCCATTTCCCAACTGCCTTCAGACTACCATCTCTATGTTTAATGGTGACTCTGCCATTCCCAAAGTCTATGGAACCCCCTTGTGAGTCAATTTGACCCACAGCCAACAGACAGTTGAGTGCATTGGGTGCATAGATGATGTCTTGGAGAATTATGGTGTGTGTCTTTCCATTGACTAGTGTCTGTAATTTGACAGTTCCTCAACCTAGTGCCTGACCAACCATCCCTTCACCAAAGCCCTTAATGCTCGAAACCTCTGGTTTGAATTCCTCAAACATGTCCCATTTCATTGCAATGTGGGAGGAGCAGCCTGAATCTGCAAGCCAGTCCTCCTTTGCAAAGAGCAGGTCAAAGCATGGGATCCTCAGTTGCCATGCTACATCTTCCTCATACAGAACGTTATTCCAAACCTATGTGAATGGGGGAGACTCAGTGATGGAACACATCAGCAAAATGCGCACATACCGAAATACGCTCAACACTCTCGGCTCACCCATTCCCAATGAAATGTTTACCATCCTAGTCTCAGCCTCACTTCCGGATTCATGGGATTCTTTCACAAGATCCTACTTCAGGAACAAAGGACAGGCTACAGTCACATCTCAAGAACTAATAGAACTCATTATTGATGAGGCTAAAAGGCTGGAGATAAAGGAAAAGGAGGTAGAGGTGGCAAATCAGACGTGAGTGTTCAATAACAATAAAAGAATGCCAACCTCGGTAAACATACCACACTCAGGCTGCACAATGTGTGAGAATTGTGGGCATGTGTCATATCCGTGCATACCCGACCCTGACCTGACTTCCGGACCTCCTCTGTCAGAGACCAGGTTGAGACAAGGGAAAGTCTCCATGGCGGAGGGCCTCGGCCTCAGCGACTTATGCCAAGAGCGCTGTGCCAAGTAACACGTCCATGCCCTAACTTACTAACTGGCAACCAGAACTGAAGGGGGTTAACTCTAGTCGATTTTATTACTGAAGTGTAACCTATGTACAAGTTGGATATATATATAGTTACAGCGAAGATGGGTCCACAATTGGCGGAGCCGAGCCGAGCCGAGCTAATGGGGTTAAACATTAGCCGACTGAATATTACCGACGAGTCGGGGTACGGGGTTAATGGAAAGGCAGGCGATAACCCAGAAACAGAAAGGAGGGATAGGCCCAAAGGTGAACTCTGCAGGGCAGGTGAGTGTATTGCCCAGTGGAGGCGGGAGTGCGCTAGCGGACGTCAGAGCTGTCCGGAAGTCTTCGGGGCTCTGTACTTAGGGAGGTGTAGGTAATAAATTGAAAGGAGGGGGTGGTGACCATCGAGGGGTACCGAGGGGATTGCAGAATATGGGAGCTCTGAGGTTAGTGAAGAAGGAGCGGAGGTAAACCAGAGGGGTCGGAGGGACCAGAAGTCGATGGACAGGGATGGATATGACATCCTCCCTCTTCACCTCTGGAGTCCTACCCTACCACTGCCCACTCCGATACTCACCTTCGGTCCTGGCAACACACCTCCTTTTACCTCCACTCCTCTTTCCCTTTCCTCCCCTATCTCCGTCCACTCCAATACTCACCTCGGAACGAACACCGCCCCTCTCGCCACCCTCCCACTACACCTCCTCCTACCTCCTCCGATCCTCCCTCACAACACCTCCACCCTTCCATCATCCTCCTACGCTTCTCCCGTCCACTCCGATACTCACCTTCGGACCTGACAACTCCCCTTTCCGCCACTCCTTCCCTCTTCCCTTTCTCCTCTCTCTCCCCTCTGGTACTCTTCCGCCAACCTCCCACCAAGTTACGACCTTCCACCGCTGTCCCATACTTCGTACTTGGGCACCGCTTGTACCTTTGCTCCGAGCCTCCATCATAGTCCCTACCTCGGACTTTGACTCCACCTTGGTCTTAGTCCGTTGCATTGGTGACCTCATACTACGTAAACACCATTGCCAATATTCCTCGGACTTTCAACCCTGCCTCTGTAAGCTCTGTAAGCTCTGCAACCTCTGAGCTTTGCGGATCACCTTCGGCACTTTCATCACTTGTAATGAATCTCTCGCGTTTTCCCCTCATCCCTATTTGGACTGCTGCTTCTTCCCATTCTAGCCAGTTAGTCATCATCCCCACTTCTCACCATCCTCCTGCCCCTCTGGGCCTCGCCCTCCCTACCTCCTTTCGGACGTATCACAGGTTCTGCCTTATGACCTTCGGTACCACTCCGCTTCTGTCTACCCTTTGTTCCCGTTCGGACGTCTTCATTCCGATTCGGATCCCCTTTGTTTCCTTGTGCTTTTGCCCCCTCCATTATATATATTGGCGCTTGTACATACTCGTTTTGGCCTCAGTCCAAAATCGACCTGAAATGCCCCCTAGAGACTTCCTGCTCGCCTACTGTGAAATTAAGGACCAAATGGACAAACAGCAATGGCACAGCGCTCCGCTTGAGTCGCTGAGGCCAAGGTCCCTCCACGCTAAGTCTCTGATTCCACTCCAGAGTCGTCTGAATCCGCCCATCTCTAACAATGTAGGGAAGTGTGTTGGTCAAAAGGTGGAGGTAAAGAAGGACAAGGTCCAAGATGGGCGAACAGAAGGAGAGTTACGATGGCACAGGCACAGGAAGAAAACTGGGGCAAGGCATTGACAATGCCATGAATTCCTTTCAGTTCTTTGACTCTGTAAAGTTGGTCCCACATCTTAACCGCTGATGGTGCCCCATAAGTGTGGGCTAGTTTGGATGGGGTGTGTATCGCCAGTACCAACAGTGCCTTTGTTTCTTCATCCTGTTCTATGAACTCACTTAGCTCCTTTTGTTCCACTGGTGTAATGTTATTCGGGTCTTTCGGTTTCAGCTCAGTGGTTTTGCTGTCTAGTAATTTTATTAAGCCCGTTAGTTGGAACATTGCCCTTATTTTGTATTTTTTGGGTTGAAAATTAATGATTTCAATATAAATATTGTATAGAAGCATGAGGGTTCAAGTTTCATGAAGGTTCATGAAGTGGATTACACTTTTTGATAGTACCTCTGCCAGCTTTGCTTTTTCTGGCACTCCAGTTCTGTCAGAACACAGTGAGGAGGGAGCAAGCATGTCTGGACCTTTCTGTCATATCCCGGATCTTCTGCCTCCCTCCACCCTATCCCTACATGACTCCTATGACCTCCACCAGCCCTCCCAATCTCTCTCTGCTGCCTCTGGTCAATGCCAACTGTTATGGATACAGAGTCTCCAATGACCATATCCATTGCATAGTCAAAGACCCCCCTCTCCATTGCTCTCTCTCTTTCTCTCTTTCACTCTCTATCCCGATATTCTGCTATCCTTACCCGTTCTACTCCATTCTCCCCCCTCATGCAAAGCTTTCCCATTGGGGTTTTGGTGCTGGCCAAGGTTGTTTGTATTTTGCAGGATTTCCCATGACCTTTCCATTTGTAGATA